CTTAGTATTTTACTAAATGCAGAGTCACTTTCTAGAAGGGAAATTGCGGACATTCTTCGAAAACACAGTGTTGGAATAGATGTTCGAATAAAAATTTCAATGTGAGAGTTTTATTTGGGAGAAAGAAAAATGCGGAGAAGAATCGTTAAAGCGATAAATTTCTTGCGTGGGAAAAATAATATTTTTTTTTTTGGAGGTAGTTGATGTGAATTATCACGAAGTATCAAGTATCTTCTTTAATAGTTTTCGTTGAACCAGCATGATCCCACATTCGACCCACAGAATTTCCAATTAAGAAATTTACGAGATTTTAAGAGATTTCATTTAGAAATCGTAAAACATCACTAAATCTGATTTCATTGTAAAATGGCGTCAGTGATGAAATCCCTCGTAAATTTTATCTTAAAAATATAATAACATCGCGTAACGTAGGATTTAATTCTGGCCATTAGTCACAAAATATGATATTTTCTTTTATCTTATCGGTATGTAAATCTTACTTTCATAAAATAAAACAGATAATCGATCTGAATGCTGAACAACCGTGTGTGTATACACGGAAAAAAAGAAAATAATTATCTCTATCTACATTCAATAAATTCTTCTTTATTAAAATTAAGCTCCACACCAGTATCTTTCTATATACATTATTCTTCATAAAAGACCAACCATTAAAAGCCATCATCCTTGACCACCAACAAACCACCTTAAAACCACAAATTTTCATCATAAACCTCAAGACAGAGCAATTTCGAAGTTATTAAATCGTCCCAAAAATCCTTCTTTTCATCTTCACCTACATCTTACTCCAATATTTTTCTAGGAATTTCGCGACGAAAGTACAAAAATAGTGAATTTCACGTATAATAAAAAAAAAAAAAATAACAACACAAGCAAGAAAAGAAACCCAACGATGACATACGAGGCGCATACACAACGAAACGACCATAATCTCCAATCGCCTATCATCTATGGTTAACTCTTTATATGCGACGTTACATAGGGTTAACCCTTGACAGGATTGCGAGATGACGGAAGCCGGTCCACGTGATCCGCGTCGAATTCAATTTTCCGCGAACACGTGACGCACGTGTCGCCCGTCGTGCGTGTGTTCACGCGTGTATATTCACGCGTAATACGTATGACTCGTTGAAAGAGAATGGATAAGGAGGGAAGAGGTCAAGAACCTTGGACAACCTTCCAATACGTATGTTCGATCGATCCTCACGTTGCATCACGTTTGATACAGGGGCTGTCGATACGTCCCTTCATTCGTGTATTCGCAAGATTTATGTGTAACGATATGTCTACACCGATTTCTAGAATTGGTTTATACACGTGCGCGTTCCGGCCATTGTCAAAGCGGTGGAAAAGATGGGTTGTTGGTTGGAGAGAAAGAGAAAAAGAGGTGGGTGGTATATTGGGTGAATGAGCGGAAAAGCGATTGTTAAATGGGGTTTAATGGTGAGTGTGTGTGTGTGTGTATGAGAGAGAGGATATGTGCGAATGATTGGAGTGATTAATTTGGGATTTTAGATGGTGGTTGTTGTTTTCGCTTGTTCCAGTGGATTCTTTGTGGATTTGATGGAAGGTATTTGAATGTATGGATTTTTAATGAAATTGCATACAGATAATAACTTAATGCGTGAAAGTTTGAAAAAGATTTAATTTTTAGTAGCAGATTATACGTTTTTCAACAATATTATAATAGAATCTCGTTCTAATCTAGATAGTAATAATATCAAATATTTATCACAGAATTATATCATAATTATGTATTGAATTATTAATATAATGGCATTATTATGTTATGCATTATGTATCACATTGTCTATGCATTCTGCTTTGATAATTTCTTTATACATATCCTATTGGATGTTATTTACTTGTTTCATCGTGTCATCGTGTTTAAAATTAATATTTCCTTGGTACAAAGCGTCGACAAAGCAGTGAATTCGGCCCATTGAAGATTAATTTGGGATTCCAATAAATTGGGATTCGTGACGATTTATGTAATAGGACTAATAGGACTTCGTGAAATCAGATTACCTTAAGAAAGTTAATTACATAACGGATAAACGGGATTCTAATTTTAATCCTGAATATTATATCTCGAATTTTTTGCAATGCAATTACAATAAAAATGCCTCTTTTCTCATTTGCTCCTATTAATTTATCGAATATTTGTTCATATTTCTGGTATCGAATTACGTTATTTTTCGCGTGTAAGTGTGAACGAAAATCATTGGAAGTCGAGTATGCGGCAATAGAATTGCAGAGTTAAGTACAATTAAGCCGTTATGCAAATGTTTTGGCAACATTAATTTCGATAACAAGATTCATTGAAGTTATTCTTCTTTAATTAAGTTTGATAATGAAACGAGGAAGATATTTTCTCGCGCAGGATCAAATTTCAATCCTGCTATTTGCCACGAATAGCGTTTAAAATAATAAGTTTTCTCGTTCAATTTTGTTTTCTTACCACTAAGTAAATTAATTTAATAATATATTCTTGCAGTTCGTGTTGTGAATAGTATTCTGATCCGCATTTGAATCGCGAGGAATTTACTGAAGAATAAAAAGTAAACTAATGGCACGCATTATGCAAACGAGAACTCATCGATACCCTAAATAAATAAAATCGTTGAATCCAATCATTGATTGATTAATTAATAAAAAAATACAAATTTTAAAATTCCTCGCAAATTTACCGCGCAATACAAATAAAATATATAGAAACAAATTTTATTCCACGATTATCGTAAGCGTAATTTTATAACTTTTCGTTATAAGATATCCCACGTAATCCCCTCGTGAGCATTAATAACCAATTTCAGAACTCGAAACACGGTTCCAAAAAGCCAGCCAACTCCGTTGTACATACCTATCCTACTGCTAATCCATTTGCCTTAATAAATTATGATTTCTGCGGGGTGCACAGCTACCATATGATCTCGCTTCCAATTAAGGTAATTAATGTACAGCGGGCACGCAATGGCTGCTTTCAAAAGGTTGTTCTTCGGAAGAAATATCTTTCTCTCTCTCGCGTTTAATTCCGATGAAAATAGGACGGAACATCGGTATATTTCATCGAGGATGATAGAAAGATATTGGAATCGAAGAATTCTCCTTTCAAAACCTATAAAAAGAAAGCATCGACAATGTCTTTATCTGTTAACGACATTGTTTTCAAGGCTTGCCTTACAACTTAATGTATCCTTTGAATTTGCTGTAATCTTTGAATTTCTTTCTCTCGAAAGAAGAGTTTCGAGATGTGCACTCTTTCAATATTTTTTTTTCAATCGAGTATTAATATTAATATAATATAAGGAAAGAAAGGGGGGAGAAAAATCGAATGTACGCGATGAAATATTTAATTAAGATGAAACAGCAAATTATATTGGATGTTATTTTAAAGGCTTTGGATTATTGTTCTTTGTCCTCTTTCTTCTCTCGTATAATGACTCAAAGAAACGCCTTTATGCGTATTATGAAGATCTTGCTCTTTGAGTCACGATACATGATATAAGAAGGTCGGTTTATCGAACTGGTATTGTCATGCTTTAAGAATTTATCTGAAAATCGTATTGTTCCATTATTCCATTTTCCTGAACAATACGTATCCTTCATTTAGAATTCTTATCTCGTGGAACAAGTTCAAGAAAAGAAAAGAAGATACGTTTAAAATAATTTAACCAATACACAATTACGAAAAATTCCTTTCAAAATTCAAACAAAATGTCCGTCTTCCCATAATTCCCAACGTACTACAAATTCCAACGTATATTTATACTTTGCCTCGCCGAGAGTCCAAAGAGATCCATGCCAAACTAAATTAAGCCAACCCACCTCCCGTTCGAAAAAGGTTCACCTCTCGATAAAGGCCCGGAAATCTCTACTCGAACGAACGGGGATTAAACGAGATATACGGCGATTGCAGATCGATATTTCGTGGAACACCTTGCCGTGTATCGATGTAACACGCGTGTAAATGCGTTTATCTGCCGGTGAAAATAATACATACGCTCCCACGACGAAGGGAGAAAATTATGCCGGGAGCGCCGCCATTGTTCGACCCTCGATTCGCGCTTAGCCGCGGGAGATTTTTACAGAATCCGAAGGGTGGAAATTCCTGGCTAATTCGAGGAATGGTGGGAGAGAGAGAGAGAGAGAGAGAAACATCTGTCGATGGCTCGTTCTCTCGTTTTCGGTTCGTAAACATTTAAAAGCGAGGACACCGCAACAATGGATGTATTTACGCGAGCCTGTTCCATCCCTGCCTTTCGAGGATATTGCATCGGTGTTTTCGGTGATAAATTGCATTTCCGGCGATGACTTCCGTGTCGATGCGACGGCCGCCACCCCACTCGTGGATGTTATTGTTGGACGAAAGAAATTTATGGCACGCTCGATGGTTCTCCCAACCCTTTAACGAAGGTGGCCAACGATAAAATCGAAATTGTTGCGCCCGTATCGTGACGTCGATATCCGCGGATCATTAAACCGGGGAATGGCGTACACTCGGATAAATGCGGGGACCTTTGGGTGTTAATTCGTAAAGGGGTTGGGCTCGACGTTGGGGTGAGAAATCACCTCCACGCTTGATCGGTGTTTTAATTAGTGGGTTCGAATCTTTTCCTTTTTTTTTTTTTTTCTCCTTCGAGGATCTTGTATTTCATATCCCTTTTAATGTTTTAATATTTTAAACTTTCTTTCATTTTCTCTTCGAGAGAAGAATTTTATGGCACTAAATCATAGTTGCGCTTTAAGCGAGATTTCGTGTTGAAAAATTGGATCGTGCTTTTACTTTTTTTTTTTTATTCCAGATAAATCAAAGAGGACGGATCCAACGGAGAAATAACCAACTTCTTCTCCAATTATTATAATTTCTTCTTCTTTAAGAAAAATATGACTTCACTTTTCAACATCACTGTTTTTCACCCAAACTTCTCGAGATTTCGTCGAGAATGGATTTTGAACCACGTGATTTTCTGTTGCAGCTTCGGCAAGCGGACGGGTGGCAGCGCGAGGAGACCCAACGAATGCTTCGTCCTCGAGCCCTCCGAGATGATCGTGGTGAGTACTACTGGAAACTTGTTGTTGTTCTCTGCGAATCGTGCACGAACGTCTGCGATTGACATTGCTCCGTAATTTCCCCGTTGACGAAAAATTTCGCGCGCCCGGAAACTTTGGTCGAAAACTTCGTTCCGCGCCGGAAGTTTCGCGCAGGGTTTCACGTTTAAAGGAAACGGGGAGCGTTCGAAATCCTAACTTCCGCCCCAACTTCTTGCACGTTCGACGATTAAATTTAAAGGGAAGAGGGTCGAGCTGTTTCGCGCAATCAAGCTGAATAGACCGAGGGGTAGTTCGAATCCCCCTTTTCGCGTGATTTAATTGTTCGTTGAATGACGTTCGATATTCGAAGGAATTTCTTTCCCTTCTCTCACCTCGTATCTTTGTTACTTTTCTATCGTTGTTATAATATAGCCAATAATAGAAATAGATTGGATGGAAGCTAGTTTACGTTTTTTTATTCATACTTTAACACTTTGTCGATATATATCTGTATATCCTAAAATTAGATACAGGTAACTCTTAGGTAACGTGGCACTTATATAACATATGGATATAAAAATTTCGAACAGTGGTTATCGTTTCGTAATATTTTCAGAATTAACACTAAACCTATCGACATTTCATATATACCTACCATGAGCGGTCAAATGACCGCTGCAAAAAAAACATTTGTATCTTAATATAGAAAGAGATTTTAGCTAATTGGATTCGTAAAGTAAACGATACAGAAAGTTGTGAATATTGAAAAATGGGTTGTATCTACATTATAGAAAAAATAAAGTCATCACTGGCGATACAGTAACTTTGTATACAAGAAATTCTAAACGAAATTTCAAAAACGGTCATTTGACCGCTCGTGGTAGGTTTAGTGTTTCGTTTAAAATACACTTATTGACTTCTATTGTTACGAATTATTCCTAGTTTACTCCATTTCTAAGAAAAAGTAAGCCGTAGTCTCTCAGAAAAGCCGATCCGAGAAGCCATGTCCCATGTAATTTCGAAAGTAATAATTAAGTTTTTCCACGTTCATTTAATCGTCAAGATGTATCAACATCAACTCTCTCCCCGTCAAATCTCTTTCGCGATGGCACGTGCGTCTTTCTCTCTCTCTCTCTCCCTTTTTTTTCCAATGGCTGTCGTTCGAAAAACCGGGCACGGAGTCTATCACAGAATGGAGTCACGAGGAATTGACGCGAATTTCTCTTTTTCCAACCGGTTTGTCCCACATTCGCGAACACGCACGAGCGGAAAACACGGCTCGAGAGGCTGGAGGGGAGGGGAGTGTGTTGGCTGTGTGTTGAACCGCCATTCCGGATATGGCGATATCGCATAATGAAAGACAATGGTGTCCGAGACTCGAGACGCAACGTGGCAGACAGTTAATCAATAGTTCCTCTCGTGGCGTGTGTTATGCCGAGTTTTCGAGGCCCGCCCCTCGATTCGGCTCGATTCGTGATCGCGATTACGCGGACGATTATTTCGCGGGGATTAAAAAACACGGAAGCGATGGACGAGATCGAGAAGACGGGGTGAGAGTTTGGGAATTTGTTTGAGGAGTCGAGGGGTTTCGAGATGAGAGAAGCGTGGATTGAAATTTTCCTTTTGGAAAATTCGTGCAAATAGGATTAGGATTGGGGGGATTATTGTAAGTAATTGTTGCGCTAGCGATGATGTATGATGTAGAAAAGGGATAGATGAAGGAAGAAACGATGAAAGTGTGAGAAGGGTTTGGAAATTTGAGAATTGAGATGTGTGTTTGTATCGTGGCATTTTGAAATGGAATCATAATTGGAATGGAGAACAAAGTCTGTATTGAAATCGAAGATTGAACAGACAGGTACGCTATCTAATGGGAGTTGTGACATTTGTTGGAAATTATAGATTACAAAGTTGAAAACAATACTGTCTGTGTATTATGTTTAATATCATATGTGAAATTATGTCATTTGGCGAAGCTAATGGAAACTTCGAATCGAGATCATTTTGGTAGTAACAGGAATTGAACGAGAAAGTAGAAAGTAAATATGACATTTAATGGAAATTATATATTTTCGAAATAATTTCTCTATTGTTGCATTAAATATGTATCGCCGATAATTTAGCGATGAAGTTCGATAAGTGTTGGGAAATGGGGAACATTTCGGAAATTTCATGATGAAATGAAAGAAAGTACGATGCTTAATGTAAATTACACGGTTCGAATATCTCTATAATCATAATTTGATACAATATAACGTATCATGATATAATATAATAATCTGATAATTAATCTCGTGTATAAATTCAGTATGAAATATAAATTCATATATACTCTTAATATGTTGAATTTCAATAATAAATTTTCTTAATAATCATAATCGGAATTTATTATTTCAATAATTATTTAAATCATTCATCGTTTATTAGTGAGAATTTTATTTCATTTTTGAATCTTTGTGCGAAGCAAAAGAAGAATGAAGTTTCTCAAAATTAAATATTATTATTTAAAAAAAAGGATAATTAAACGGATTATACATAGGATATAAATATCAATTCGATTACTTAATTAATAAAGTTTCGCTAATAAGAGAAAGTAGAATCGATCTCTCGGATAATTTGCTCGGATTAGTTCATAGTTAATCCGATTCGACGATGCTCGAAAATGGCACGAGTGAATTCTAATTATCCAATTTCAATCGTTTTCACGTTGAAAATTTACCAAAATTTCGTGTGAAACCTCGTCGTTTCTGTTTCGCGATTTCCTTTTCGCTGTTAATTATTCCACGCGACGAGTGAAGCCGAATGATTCGTGCTGCCATCTACGATCTGTTTTACCGACTATTCGGATCCTGAAGAATCTTTTGATCGATAGATCGCAGAACTTTATTCTTGAAAATGATCATATTATTTTCAATTTTTTATCTTTTTGCTAAGATTAAAAATTTTATAAATCTAAACTTTTTTCTTAATTATATTTCTGTTTAATATACGTGTTGACAAAATATTTATGGATTTCTTTCTTTTCTTTTGTCCTTTTATCTCATTTTATTTAAAATATTTATCTTTGATAATTTCACAAACTTATTATTTAGAATTAAAAATTTTCTTCGAAATTAATCATTTTTTCAATGTTTTATTTTATGATCTCGTTTTATATTTTATCATATACAAATTCCTTACGGTATTATTCATACTATCAACATCGTTGTGCAACATTTTAGATTCAAACAACACACTAAACCATGATAATCTCCGTATGTGAGTCTCATAAAAGAAACTCGCATATCCAACTCTCAAGTACTCTGTATATATCTCATTTCTCCTCTTTATCGTACTTTAATCCCGTCTTATCTAAAATTCATCTTAGCTTTCTTCCACCGCATAATGTTGAAACGTTAACGATCCAAAAGAAACTTTCCAACGAAACATTTAATATTATACATCCAATTTTTTCCTCGTTAATCGATTAATCGTGAATCTTAATCGTGATATACCTAATATTCCTTCGATCCAACGATTTAAAAAGTTTTATGTTTCGAGATCCTCTTTCCCCCCTTCTTTTCGTGGCTCAAAATAAAAAATCCACGATACCGATGAAAATGTTGAAACTTGAGCTGTGAATCATCGCGATATAATCGAAAACTCACGGAAACTCGTTATCGAATGATGAGACAGTTACGATAAGACGTCTCGAATTCGATCGATGATAACTATTCATGAGGAGATTACCTTTT